AAAATGAAATATTAAAATCATGATGTATCTCGCTGCATTGCGCGAGTACGCTTCTAGTATATATATATATATATAGGTTGGTTCAAATACTAACCAAGAAATTTGTGTTAACTATACTAACCAAGACTAACCAATCATATTCTTTCTTTACTTCATGTTCAAATGTAATTTATAAATTAAATACAAGGGTGATTATGTAATTTGACCTTTATGTAACTCCCTAATAATTAATTGGGAGTTACAAATCTTAAAGATCCTTCTAATTGATCATTAGGTAATTCTGATTTTTATCTTCATTTGTGTTCATGATCGTGATTTCAAGTAATGTTCTACATATAATGATATTCGTTTTGTAAGTGTAAAAGATTTCCGTATCGTTCGAGTAATATGGATAATACTATTGTAAATCATATTGATAACAATGGAAATGACAAAGTTAAAATCGGATACGACTACGGTCAAAATTTGAATTCCGATGATGAAGAAGATGATCAAAGCATTCCGATAATGATTAGTATGACATTTATTTTGTTTAAATGAACAGCTATTACCGTTGTGAGCCATTAAATATTCTTGCAAATATAGTTGAATTCGTTGAAAATCTGATGCACATTCTGGTACTGCATATGTTTAGGGATTAATTTAGTTGATAGAGAAACATATATGAAGAGATTATAAGAGATATGGACACACACAACATATGAACACACAACAAAGGCAGAATATGTAGATATTGATACATATGCACAACTACATCAAATGAATATGAACAGGATTTTTGAGTAGTATGTCATGTCGTTGTTCACATCGATACATATGCACAACGTGTTCACATGAACATGTGATCATGCTCTGTGATTCATGTGAACAACGCATTTTTACATTTTTACCCTGTGAATCCATTGTTCACATATTATTAATTAATATATTAATTAAATAATTAAATAAAAAATTAACACGATAATTTTGGTTAGTATTTGAACCAGCCCCTATATATATATATATATATATATATATATATATATATATCTTTGAATTCTATAAACCAATTTATTGGACTTTATAAACAAACTATTAAGAGTCATAAATATTGTTAAAAAGGTGCATCGAGGCATCCAGCTCCATCTCAAACATATTTAAACTCAGCTTGCACTATTTTGATAAATATATGAGTCATATTTTTTTTATACCAACGTACATTACTAGAAAACTAGGTATCAGCGAGGGAAAATATCTCTCGCAGATCAGCAAGGGATCAACGAGGAAAATGCCAAAAAACTCATTCCCTCGCTGATCCCTCGCTGATCAGCGAGGTATCAGCGAGGGAATTGCCAAAAAAACGTATTTCCTCGCTGATTTGCGAGGGATCAACGAGGGAATGAGTTCTTTGGCATTTCCCTCGCTGATCCCTCGCTGATTTGCAAGGGAAATTCCTTCTGCAAATTCCCTCGCTGATCCCTCGCAAATCAGCGAGGGATCAACGAAGGAATTGGCAAAATTCAGAATCCCTCGCCGATCCCTCGTAGATCAGCGAGGGATCAACGAGGGAAGTGACAAAATTCACATTCCCTCGCAGATCCCTCGCTGATCTGCGAGGGATCAGTGATGAATTTTTCTATTTTTCCTATTTTCTCATTTTTATGTGTTATATGTACATATTTTTATGTGTTGATGTCGTATGTATGCATGTCATGTGTTGTTTGTGTGTGTATATATATATATATTGTGGTTGCTAACCGCGATATGTGCATGTGTTACAAGTATACTAGAAGCGTACTCGCGCAATGCAGCGAGATTCATCATGATTTTAATATTTCATTTTATTATTTATCTCAGTCGATGTTATAATATGGCTTGATGTGATTTTGAGAAAGCAAAAATGTTTTTATTTTTGAATAAAATATAT